GAATAAGAAATTTTTTAAGATTTTTTTCTTGCCATCTCATTTTTTTGGCAATTTGTACATCCTAAGTGTCAAAATGCTTGTACATGTCATTGTTTTCCCGTTTTCCCGTCAAGTAACGAGACACGTAGGTTGATATTTGACGGAAGGACCAAATCAGTGTAAAAATGGTAAACAGTAGGGACTAAATCAAGAATTTTTTTAGTTCAGGGACCAAATTGGAGGTTCATACAATAGTTTAGGGACCAAAAAGGAGTTTTAACCAAAAAAAAATTTTGAGTGTAAAATAGGTATCCAGAACCATTGGCTCCAACTTGCACCGTCTCTTATCGGCATTCTGATCATTTTCATTATCTTTGTTCTTTACCCTATTATTTTTTCGATAAATTATTATAATTTCAATAAAAAGTGTTTTAAAATCTAAAGTATAAAATACTAACATTTAAATAAGGAGAGCTCATTGATATTGAAGCCTTTTTCAAATTTAAGAGTTTTTGCTTTATATTTTAGACTAAAAACAACATACTCTGATATCAATAAAAATTTATTATTTTATAATTTAAATTATATTAAATTATAAAATAAATAATATAAAATAAAAAATAATTCTTAATATGAAGGATTTACTCTTTATTTAATCATTTAAGCTTCACGTGACCTTTAAGAGGCTATTAATGCTAATTTTGATTTACCTATTCGTACTTTTTTTTTAAAAAAAGGATGAATAGAATTAAGTTTCCCTCCCAACCAATAGAGTCACTAAAGATTCTTTGATGGTTTTTTTTTCCCATGGGGAAACGAAACATAAAAAGGAAAAATCCCTGGTAAAAGACTTGCCGAGAAAAAGAAAATTACCGTTTCAATTGGTGTTTGTCGTGGGCAGGGCAGTTTCTCCGTTTCTTGGCGAAATGGCGTGGGCATACCCAACTACCAATCATAAGGGACAGCCCACATCAATTTACGGGCTATACTAATTGGGCTAGAAGATGTACAAATTCTTTGATGTCTGGAGTTTACACTTTCCCCAGGGCCCAGGGGTAGTATGGTGTACCATAACGCCTGACCACTGTTCTGGGGTCCTTTCCTTTCCCTTCACGTGATTCTGAGTTTATCAGTACCACAGCTGCCCCTCAGCAATTACATGCGTTGTCACGTACCGTTCGCTTCCCCCTCTCACCATCACTTTGTGTTCCACCCAGTCTTCGCTTCGCCCAAGTAAAGCAATGAAACTGACCAATCAAACAATCAAAAGAAACACAGCAAACAGTGCAAATTGTTGAGCCCTCCCCTCGCATTCTGTTTTCTTCCGCAGACAATGTTCCTTCAGGAGATGCTGGTTTTTCTTGCATTATTTAGCGTGGTTGCTTCTTCTTCAACCGTTCCTTCTCCTCAAGCCGTCTTGAACTCCTCGTCGTTTTCTGATGTCGCCGCTCTTCTGGGTTTCAAGTCTAAGGCTGATTTAAGAAACCACCTTGGTTTCTCTCAAAATGCAAGCTCCCATTTTTGTGAATGGCAAGGAGTTACATGCTATGAGAAAAAAGTGGTGCGTCTCATTCTCAAAGACCTAGATCTCGGCGGGGTTTTCGCCGCCAACACTTTGTCTCTCCTCCACCAGCTCCGAGTCCTGAGTCTCCAGAACAACTCGCTCACTGGACCCATTCCTGATCTCTCTGGACTCCTCAGCCTCAAAATCCTGTTTCTGGACCACAACCATTTCACGGGTTCTTTCCCTCTTTCGATTTTGTCCTTTCACAGGCTTAGGACGCTTGATTTATCCAGTAATAATCTCACCGGCTCGATTCCCAGCTCGTTAAATTCTCTAGATTCGTTATATTATCTTCGTTTGGATTCAAATCGGTTCAATGGAACAATTCCTCCGCTGAACCAATCCTCTCTCGAAACCTTCAATGTTTCAGGCAACAATCTTACCGGTGCCATCCCGGTGACCCCTACGTTGCTCCGATTTGGGTTGTCTTCCTTTTCATTAAACCCAGGTCTCTGCGGTGAGATCATCCACAAAGAATGCCACCCGAGGCCGCACTTTTTTGGTCCCACGGCTGAGGTGGCGGCACCACCCCCAAAGGGGGTGCTAGCGCAGACTGCGGACGTGCACGGCGTCGATTTGGATCAATCCAATGCGAATAAACACAAGAGAACAGCAATAATCATTGGGTTCTCAACTGGGGTTTTTATTCTTATTATCGGCGCACTCCTCTGTTTTGTAACGACCGTGAAAAAACAGAGAAACCAAAAGGAACAGACGGAGACGGCCATACCCACAATAGAACGGGATGCAGTGACCACGGCGGAAGTTGCAGCGGCGATTCAGATGGAGCAGGAGAACGAGTTGAAAGAGAAAGTGAAGAGAGTGCAGGGAATGAAAGTAGCCAAGGGTGGGAATCTGGTATTCTGTGCGGGAGAGGCGCAGCTCTATACGCTGGACCAACTGATGAAAGCGTCGGCGGAGTTACTAGGGCGAGGCACAATGGGGATCACATACAAGGCAGTGCTGGATAACCGTCTGATCGTGACGGTGAAGCGGCTGGATGCCGGAAGATTAGCCGGCACATCGAAGGAGATGTTCGAGCAGCACATGGAATCGGTGGGTGGACTCAGGCACCCCAATTTGGTCCCACTTAGGGCTTATTTCCAGGCTCATGAAGAAAGGCTTCTCATCTACGATTACGAACCCAATGGCAGTCTCTTCTCCCTCATCCACGGTAAGCCTTCATTACTTCATTTTCCCTGTTCAGTTTCAGTGAGTTAACTCGTCATTCCCAGCATGTTAACTCAGTGAGTACCCTAGTAGGAGTATAGTTATGATTATTACATTAGCAATAGTTTATAGCAGCTGAATTGGATTAGGAAAATTATCTTTGATTTTTTTTTTTTTAAGATTAAAGGTTAGTTACTTTAATAATAATTTTAATTTTTATCTTGACTTTAAACTAAAAATTTTAAATTAATAGATATTAATTCAGCAGAGCTTCTTTTTCTTCTTCTTCTTCTTCTTCTTTTTTTCTTATTTTTTTATGATACCATATTTGAATCTTTGTTTTCTACTAACAGAGTGAATCTAGTCTTGGGTGCTGACGAGCTGTGGAATTGGTTAATTATTTTAGTAACTAGAATGATAAAGTTATAATGTCACAACATTATAACTTTAGAATATACTATGGGAAAAATGTTAATTAATTATATCTTTGAAAGTTATGAGAAAAAGAATTTTAAAATTAGTTGTTTTAATAAATTTTTATGGAAGATATGAAAATAATTTATTTTTAAAATTAAAAATAAATTAAGAATGAATTTATTTTTGTCTTTTTTATTGTACATTAACGAAATAATGAAATCTTTTATTAATTTTTAAAATTTCTTTAGATATGATAGACCAGCACTAAATTTATCTATTATTAAATAAATTTAAAAAATATTTTACGATCTAAATTACTTTTATTGTAAAATACTAATTATCTAATTAGAGGAGAATCTTTTGATATTAGAGTTTTTTTTATTTAAT